GATATTTCAGAAAAAAAAGACTTGAAGATACTGTATTGGCTTCAGTGGGAACAGGATACAAATAAATCTCAACTGCTTGTAAAGATGCTGACTTCCTCCTAAGAATTTGTTTTGATTGGTAAATGGTGGGGAGGACATTTGTCACTTGAGTGAAATTCTTTATTAGAAACTAATCACTGTAATGAAATTCACTGCTAGTTAGTAAATATTTCCTGTCTGCAAATAATCCTGCTGGCAAAATTTGTCCCAAGTGAGTATTGTATAAAAAGAACAAAAACTTATTTGCAGATCCACCTGCAACTGAGTGAAACATTCAAGACAATAATCCTTGAGCAAGATTTGTTTCCTAACACTTATTTGATGTACAGGACACTACAGCAAGGTCTCATTATTACTGCTTGTTTTCTTGCTGCAAAGTTAACCTGCAGAAACAGGAGCAGAAGTTTCACTTCCCCCTGCTTACTCATGCAGTCCTTGTAGCAAGCAAACTTCTATGAGGCATTCTTGTGAGCTTGTATCACAGCTGTTCACTTCTTTGCGTTACCAAAAATAAGTAGAGAGGGAAGAAGGAGCCACACTTCAACAGAATCCCTTCTTTAGGTGAAAAAAATTAAAAAGGGCACTTGCTGTTTATCATTAAGAACTGAAGAAAAGACACAGGTTACTGTTACAGCTGTAGATTTCACGTTAAAGTCAGAAAGCTGTTGTGAGCAAAAATGTCAGTGGCTACATGGGTAAAATGCTACATGGGGCAGTTAAAACATTTAATTATAATGACAACTTTTGCATAAGACTCATTGACATCTGAGAATGTCATATCTGGCAGCAAATGAAAACTTGCAAATCTCCATTAGGTTTGTAATTGCTGCTGTTCCCGTTGTCAGGATAGCTAAATGGAAGTGTTGTGAGTACTACTCACCACAGGGTATGTGTCGTAGAAGAAGGCTCACACTTTACAGTCAAAATATGGAACTACAAAATTACACTTTTAAGGAAATACTGTAGATCCATCTGACTTCTACTGAAAAGCATATTTTCTCTGACATAAACAATCTATTAATGAAATTTAATACTTCAGATTATGGTGAAAATACAGAGTAGAACATTTTACTCTCTGGAACAATCCTGCTCACACACACACATATTTTAAATATGTAGTTTTCTTCTGTGAGCACAATACCAAGAAATATCCTAACTGTATCCAGTGTCTTGAAATGCCTGTGATTTACGGTAGGGTCCAGTTTTGCACCACTGCTCCACATGGTTAGCAAAACAGGCTCAGATAACTAAAGGTCCCAAGGTCCTTAACTCCACTGATTTCTTGGCTTTCTCCTCACACAGTCCCACATATTTCAACAGGATGTCCTGAAGGAAGGTCTAGAAGGGCATCTGAAGGATGCCCTCTGCCCTCTGGCAGAACCAGAGCCAAAGTGAATAAGGAGAGAAGACTGTATCAGATCCAAAAACCTGTAAGCATCTGTTTTTATCACAACTTTATTATAAAGCTGATAGAGGTAACTGATACTGTCTGAGCCAACTCCTTAGCCATTATTTCAACCTTCTGCACCTGTTTTAGTGTCTGTCTTGTAATTTCTTAAGCCATTTCTTTCTCTTTCCTCTAACGTGCCTGCCTGTGAGCTCACTGCCAGCGCCAGGAGCTCTGTACTGTATCTGTTCCAAGGTTGGCTGCAGCTCCCTGTGCAGCTTGAAGGAAGGGTACAGGGGGGCTGGAAATGGCACAGCTTTGGACACTGCCAGAAAGCATGGCCAGAAATGTGCACACCAGGGTATACAGCACCTCAAGGTAATGGGGCATCTGCCCGCTACAAAATCCTGTCCCCTCCTTTTTGGAAACCAAAGCATAGTCTGAGCTAGGCCAATGCTCCTGGGGTTTTGTTACAGTTCAAGCTATGATAATACAGCCCTGAGAGAAGCAGTAGTGAGTGTTCTCCCTGACTCTTTGGTCTCTTTAGAAATATCCAAATGTGTTACTTTTTATCTGAAGGTTCAAGCATTGCTTTGTTGACTTCTGCAGATCTGAAGGGTAAATTATCTGTATAATATACTTTAAAATCTCTACCTATACAGGCCAAAAACTTTCTCTCTCCCTATATAATAAAATAGCATTTCTGCATCAACATCTCTCTTTCATAAATGTGCCACTTTGTTAGTGCCTTGCCAAACTACAGCTTTTTCCTTTTTTCCTTTTATGCATATAAGTGGAAGCTGCTGTGTGCAATGATTAACAACTGCACCTGGAATATATCTACAGCTTTTATATATATCGTATTTCTGTCTAGGCCCTGATTCTGCAGACCTTTATGCTTAACTTCACACCATATGAATGTGTGGCTTTCATTCTCACTTTAAAATGTATAACAAAAATGAAATTATCACTTGAGTAACTCCTTGCTTTCTTGAATGTATTTGTTACCAAGCTTCATAGAAATATTTAAGCAACATTCAAACAACATGCTATTTAAACAACCTGCTGACTGACTGGATTCTAATTTCCTTCAGCTCACATGAAGTAAAATTTCAAAAAATTATACATCCATAAAAATGTGTTTGTAATTTAATCTTTCTGACACACATTACATGAATGTTAATTTAACTGAGCCATCCTTCCACGACAACTTTCAGATCTGAGTGATATCCAAAGTGAGTGAAATCAATACATCAGATGCAGTAATGGGCTCATCACTCATGACGGAATGAGCACTGTTAGCAGGAAACTATGCTTAATATGAATAAAGAAGTCACACCTAGATTTGTATTCAGTAATTTCTTGCACAACTGAAGAGAGGGAAATAGAAGGACGCGACGGCTGAGATGCTGCTTTTAAGACAAGTGAAATACAATCTGCAACAACTACACTTCTGAGTAAGATTACCAGTACTTAACGGCACTGAGAGTTCCTCCTGTTTGATCAAATGGCTGTAACAAATCTTTGTCTTATAACACTATTTCCATACTTGTAAAGTTCCATTAAAGATGGAGATGGTTCTTTCTCTTTATTAACAAAACTAAATTTATCCCAGATTCTCAGGCTAATTCTGCTAACAGGGTACTACAATTTCTTTTCCTTATCTAATAATCATTTAAAAATCATTAGCTCTTCTCACATTCAGTGATTATAGTAGAGTAGGATGTAGCAAGTGTGAAATTTTGTACTGAATTAAGGAAGAGAATCACGTTTAATATTTTAAGTTTTTCCTACAGAAACCTACAAGGCAGCAGATAATTCGTCTTCTCATTTATCATGTTTAAACATTTTTGCATTGCTTCAATCTAAGAAGTACATACAGATCGTCGTCTATCCTGTGTTTGAACTTGCACTTGAATTCTTGAGTACTGTAAGGCCTTGGACAATGTCTAATGAAGGGTGTGAGGAGAATGTTGCACAGTCTGTTGCTGAGCACAAGTAGCATACTTTCTCTTACATGGTTATCACCTCCATATAGGAGGAGATAAAGTAACTTTTCCATGTACCATTGAATCACAGAATAGTTTTGGTTGGAAGGAACCTTTAAAGGTCATCTAGTGCCAACTTGCTTACCATGGGCAGGAACACTTCCCACCAGGCCAGGTTGCCCAAAGCCCTGTCCAACCTGGCCTTGAACACCTCCAGGGAGGGGGCATCCACCACTTCCCTGGGCAACCTGTGCCAGTGTTTCACCACCCTCATCATAAAAAATTCAGTCTAAATCTACCCTCTTTCAGTTTAAAACCACTGCCTCTTGTCCTGTTCACTACAGACCCTGGTAAAGTCTTTCTCTGTCTTTCTTATAAGCCCCCTTAATATATTGGAATGTCACCATAAGTTGTCCCTGGAGCCTTCTCTTCTCCAGGCTGCATAACCCCAACTCTCTCAGCCTTTCTTCATAGGAGAGGTGCTCCAGCCCTTACTCCATCATAAAATAGACTAAATTCAAAAGCTCTACTTCACTTTCCTATGTTCCTCAGTTCTTACAATGGTTTGGTCTGCAAATTAAATCACCTGGTGGCCTACATCAGTCCTCAGAATAGTCATTCAATGTTTTAAAAAAATTATTTGCCTATACAGAAGAAATTATGAACTTGGTGTGAAAGACTGCATGTGTAAGTATGTGAGGGCACTGGTAAGTTTAGGAGATGGTAACAGCAAAGAGCTGGCTGATTATATTTTTAATATACATCAGAGATTTTCCTAACCTGATAATAAACATGAGCACATTATTAGAATAATATAGGCTATTGCATCAATGTAGACAGTGGGCATAATCTCTAACATTTATACCCAACAGAAAATTAATTCTTCATGTTTATACTTCTCTTAGAGAACAATATCCATTGCCATCATCTTTCTGTGCATCTCAGACGTAACACATAGAATGTTTATATAAATATATAGATAGAGCATAAAAAGTAAGGCATACAGTTACATTTATTATCTCTATAGATATGTATTTCAGAAATTATTTCTGTATGTATAAAATAACAGTTTTATAAAGATAGCTATCTATGAAGTAATAAATTGGTTTGTATCCTTTGTGCTTCCTTCTCCTCTTATTAAATACCTCTCTTTGTTCAGATTATTTCCCTTTCCCTTTCCCTTTCCCTTTCCCTTTTCCCTTTTCCCTTTTCCCTTTCCCTGTCATGTTCCCCCAATTTTCCTTTATTCTGACATGTCCATCAAATTTTTGGGGTGTGTTTTTGTTCCCACCTTCTCCTGTAGTGGGGCTGGAGAACTGTGTCTGCCTCTCCTCACCATCTGCAGCTGGGGGCTATGGCTATAATAATCCCAAATAATTCTTCCCTCTTCCTCCAGACTTGTACCCCAATGGCCTGACACACCTTCTCCACCTGTCTTTCAAACTTTTATTGGCTTGGGTGGGAAGTCCATGGACCATGACTTCTGTTGCTGGCCTAGATATTTATTTTTCCTAATGAGCTGCATTAAATGTCAATTTGGTTACTGGCATTTTATGGTTCTTCATGAAAAAAAAAAGAGTACTTACAGTTTTACTCCAGGTGAGACCTGTGGTATGATGCTCTTTGATATAAGCTTGAAGCTCAGACCAGATGTTCAAATATGACTTCACCCAATCAACATGGCGCTCATCACTGTAAAAACAGAAAATATTTGTATGTGTGAATGTACTTAAAACCAGAAAGCATTGCTACTCTTGCTTAAAGCAGGTAAAACCCGATGTCTGCCTTAAAGCTACGGACAAATCAGTTAGCAGGCAGCCAGCCCAGTGCTGAAAATACTGAGACCTACCACACTGGAAAGCTTTTAGATCCTTCCAGAGGACAAAAAAGGGCAAAGGATGCCCCCAGCACAGCGTGCATCCTGCTGGAAGGGTGAGTCGTCTTTCTGTTCAGGCTCAAAGTCAACTGAAGAAGCATTAAAGGCCTATGGGGCTGTGCAGCAGCTACCCAGACTCAGTTTCAGGGTGCTGAATTTTAGAAAATTAAGTATCTGTGGGTTCTGTAAGATATTCTAGCTTCCAAGTTCAAATGTAGGCGGGTAATACTGGATTATGTTACAGTCATCAGAATAAAATATTTATATTCAAGAATTTTTGAAGTGCAAGTCACAAGTTGGCTCTGGTGTTATTATTTGGAAGGCTTAGTCTTCAAATGGGACAGTGAGTGAAAACAATAAATATGCAGAAAGAGAGAAGCTGCTTGTAAGACGGAGTCCTTAGTTATGAAGGATTACTACTGAATAGCGATGGCTATGGACTGGATGCTTATGGTGTCTACCTCCTATTTATTTCCTTTGGAGTTTGATGCTTAATATTGCTGAGGATCTGAGTCAATGGGTTTAATCCAATGCCTATGGAAGTCAAGGGAGAGTCTTCCACTACTCTGGAAGGTGTCGTAATCTGATTTAGTGAAAAATGGAAATAATTCCTTACTAGAGGGCTAAGTGAATGCCTAAACTATCTACCCTGTTTATAGTGTTATGTGAGACATTTTCTTCTCCAGAATAAGTACTAAAGCTATATTGTAAAAATCATCAGTTAGCCCAGTAGCTACTACTTTTTCAGCAGGTAAACTAAGGCTTCAGGAATAACAAATAATGTAAGATATAAAATACATATTTATGCAAATACAATAAATAGATATATTTACAAAAGATTCCTCACTAAAGAGGAAAACCTCAGCAGCAAATACAGTTCTTCACTGGGATATAAAAATCAAGAACCAAAATCTGGCCTTCAGAGGTTACCACATGAACAGGATTTATACGTGACATTTTTAAGAGGGCAAAGGAAGGACCTGTATTTTTTCCCTTTCTCTGTCATCTCAGAGATCTCATTCATGGAACCTTTTTTGTGAATTCCTTGCGCTCTTTAAGAACAATGCTTTGATACAGAAAAAAATCAAATTGGGAGCTACAGAATTACATGCTCAGTTGCATACATCTACCACCTAAACACACATTTTCAAGCAAAGAGCAAGAACAACAACAGTGAGGGCACAAATGAGACAAGGATGTGTAGCAGCCACACGATGATATGTAAACATGCATTTGCATATAATTTATGATGCTGGAATGCCAGAAAACTAAATACAATCCTATACTTTTCAGGGAGTGAAAAGCAGCACTGCTAGTGCTGCTGCCCTTCTCACTGCAAAATGCTGCAGGTCAAAGATGAGGAGGGGAAAATATACTACTGCAAGCAGATTTTATCAAATGCTTTTTAGTCTGCAAAATGCTTTCTGTGATGGCATTGTGAACCCTATTGGTACAGTTAAATGCTCTCTTCTCTGGCTAGCAGATACTGGGGCTTGGCAACATACCTGTGCTTGTAGTCCTTTAATACCCTGTTAGTATAAAAGGTAGCAGCATCATTCATCTCCTTGACATAAGGGCCTGGTTTAGGAGACTAGGACCATCAACCCATGGTAGCAGGAAACAACAGGAGAAGAAAGGAAGTAAAACATTAGTCAGACACCTTCCCTGATGTATCAGGGATATTACAAAACACCTTCTTGGGTGTAGTGGACTGAAGAACGATGCAGATGAGACTCCCAACCATCCCATGTGTCACTCACCACTGCTATCCACCCAAGGGCAGGTATGCTTTCACTGACGGCTGAGAGGTGGTTGAACATTTCACTTCCTCTGTTCCTTTCTCTGAAGTTCTGGATTTCCTGAATCTTCTCCGATATTGGCTTGAGAAGCATTGCCACCTCATTCTGAAAAAGGAAAAAAAAAGAAAAAAGAAAAGACGACACTGCTGTTACAATGGGTGGCCCAAAAACACCCTGTAGTTTAACACCGTCCTCCATGCCCATTGATTCAGCAGCTGGAAAGAAAGGTCAGCATATTCCCTACATTAAAGTAACAATTTAATTACCCTCCTCTAGTGGCAGCAGCAAAATGCACAGACATTAACAGTGTGTTGCACCAAAACTTGTTCTCAGCACTGGTAGCATTTTAACATGCTGCCCAGGTGAAGACCCATAGAGACCCCATAGCTCAGGCTTAGCAGAATGCTTCTATTTTTCCTCTGTTATCCCTGGAACATTTTGAGAGTCTCTACACTGGCTTGAGTTTTTCAAATTCTTAACCAAGTTGTTCTTTCTATAAGAAACACAAACTACTTGTTAGGTTAGTGGCCTCTTATCATCTGGCAACAAGACTGAGAAAGGAATACACTGAAGGCAATATCAATTTTAGCTGTCTCTATTGGTAGATTTTAATGTTTTAATTTTCTTTGACTGCAAGTTAATGTAGGAGGTTTTCATGGGAAACACACTGCCTGCAAGCAGTGGTTTGGGGAAAGTCTCCTGCGTTAATCAGAAACAAATGGTATCCAGGGGAATAACTGCTGAGCGGAAGGAATAGTGTCTGCAGTGAAGAGAAAAGCAGAATGGATGTAGAAGCTATCCAAGCTCCTTCCTGTGCAAAGTGAATGTTAATCACACTGGCCCAGTGTCTCAGAAAAACTAATTTAGAGCACAAACTTACTGGGAAAAATTCTTCCACTCAGAAACAGCACATTGAGGGACAAGGAGTCCTCAGTTTACAAGCAAAACAACTGCTGTACCTTGCAACCCTATATAATGTTTCTATAAAAACAGCCCAATTTTTATTGCAAAAGTATGCCCACAGAACCCATACCATGTCCCACTGAAGAGAGTGCACCATTCTGATCTTCCCTGGCACTTCACTCGGAAATCACTCAGGATGTGGCAGAGCTCTGTATTTTTTCTCACCTTTTCTCAGGACTACTTGTTTAATGGCACTAAGTGCTTGCTGGAGACAACTAGTCCTCATATTCTTCAGAACTAATGCTGTCACGACACACAGAAGACAATGTGTGCATATGTCCTGCTTCATCTCTGTGGTGTCCAAGAGAATTTTTTTCACCCTTCCACAAGACTTCAGCTTTACAGAATTCAATTTCACCGTAAAATAGGCACGTCTGCTATGGATCAACATGGATCAAAGACACTCCAAAAAAAACATGACAAAAAGAGGTTCTGCATTTTTAAAAGAATTTTGATCCAACTGTGGAGCCTTAATATTTTAGGGGTAATGTAATTTTGACAAAGGCCTATGCATCTGAAATACGTGGGGATATTTGGTCTTCTCCTACAACAGAGTAGTTTGGGAGAAAACAAATTACTGGGAAATTAAAAGATTTTTTTTTGTTGATGGCTTAACGACCAGCATAAGTCATTAACTCTGAAAAAGCCCTGAAACATCCATGATTTGTAGTTCTTAAAAACTGATTTTGTTGCCATAACATGATAAAGTCTGCAGGAATTTTTTTTCTAATTTTTGCTTGTTTACAACACACTGCAGCTGGTTGGTTCTTTCTTATTTTGCAAGGAAATCTTTCAAGTATTTCAGTAGTTAACACAACTGAAATTTAAGAAAGTGCTTGTTCTGCTTTGATACCATGCCAGTTTTCCTCCCATAAAGTTTAAGGGATATTTACAGTCCGTAGCTTACTGTGAATCTTCATGGCCCAGTTCCAGCCAAAGAGAGTATCAGGGCTAAAAATACAGCTCCACAGATGCCTGGGATATCTACAGAGCACTGGGAGGCAGCATGTTTCTGTGGACAGGGCACAAAAGTAGGCACAAAAATGGGGGTTCTCTTCGCAGTCCTCTCACCAAATTACCATCAGGTTTCAGGAAAGCTGTGTTACCTTTCTCTGCTTCAACTTCCTATATA